GAGTGAATCTCCCATTTAATGGCATGAAAGATGTTTTTAATTATTTCATAACTGTTTGGGCTCATGTTAATAATTCTTACAATTATTAATTTCTATAATAGTTAAAATATTTTCTTTGATGTTTTTTATCAAGAAGGAAGTTTTAATTTGTTTCCTTCTTCTAAGCACTGGTAATAGAAGAATAAAATTAAATACAGCTGAAACTGGTTTGGCTCAGTGGATAGAGTGTCAGCCTACAGACTGAAAGGTCCTGGGTTCGGGTTCGATTCTGGTCAAGGGCATGTACCTTAGTTGCGGGCACATCCCCAGTAGGGAGTGTGCAAGAGGCAGCTGATCGATGATTCTCTCATCGATGTTTCTAACTCTCTATCCCTCTCTCTTCCTCTCTGTAAAAAATTAAAAAATATATATTTATTAAAAAAATTAAATACAAAAAAGAAGAGTTTAATTAAAGTCAGTTGCATTATCTTGGCGTTTTTAAAAATAAAGCTCCACAAAAATGATACCCTATTTTAATTATATATTAAAAATGCCACTAATAACCTTCTCAACTTAAATTTCCAGTGTCACTGGCACTTTCAATACTATATGGTTTTTTCTGTCATCCATAGATGCAGGTATTATACTTTCAGGTATATATTGGCCTTAATGTGGAAAGCTGACAGAATAGCCTTATAAAATTTCTCTTGACTACCATGAATTCTGAAATGACTCTGTATTGTTTATATAAAAGCTTCCATAGGAAGATTATGACATTTCTGTCTAACTTTCTTTCAAATTTCTTACCCAGGTGGTTTTTTAAATTTGAATCTTTGGCCATCTACAGCCAAATTTTTAGAAAAGTGCATAAAAAATGCAAATACCCAAATTTCACCATAAAGTTAGAATTAGTAGATTTCTATAGGATAGAGACAAGTAATCAGAATTTTAAAATAATTCTAAAACTTTTTGAAGTTGAAAACTTTTTCTCTATTAAAAAATTTACAAGATTTTCACTTCTGCAAAGATGGAGAGATCTGGAGCATATTTACCCCCCAACATGAAACTCCTTTTAGAAGCAGATAAAATATAATAAATGTAGTTTCCAAATATTGGGTATTAGCAGTGTGATGACCTCTCAGAGAAGGGAAACAAGGTGATTCCTATGATTGCCTCAGCAAGAATTCCCATGCCAGCACACAAGGAAAGGGTAATGCAGGAAGAGCCCAGCGGAGTCCCTGAGTAGAACAGATAGATCTGGAGGTCCCGGAGGGCCAAAGGGACAGAGTGTGCAGGACTGAGTGCCAGAAAGGAGAAAGCTGCATAGGAGGAAGCTTCAGAAATCAGCAGTTCCACTTCATTTTCTTAGCTGAATACCATCCAACACCCCCACGTTTTGTAAGGTAGAGATGAGATTATTTAGTTAAGGCTTTTTTTTTTAATTTCCCAATATAAGCATATAATGCTATAATTTATCTTCTGCATGAAGAAACTCAATAAATTTCAAGAAAACTCAGAAAGACAATTCAAGGAAATCATTAAAAACACAGGTTCAAAATGAGACAATTACCAAAGAGATAGAAATAATTAAAAAGGAACCAAACAGAACCTAGAGAGCTCAATAGATGAAATAAAATATTCAGTAAAGAGTATCTGCAGTCAAGTAGAGCAAAGAAGTTAAATGACAGGAATTTGAAAAAAAATTGTTAGAACTAATAAATAAATTCAAATGAATTGCTGAATATAAAATCAACATAGAAATCAGTTGTGTTTCTATACACTAACAATAAAACATCTAAGTAAGAAATAAAGAAAACTATCCCATTCACAGCAGCATCAAAAACAATTTTAAAGTACTTTGGACACATTTAACCAATAAATTAAAAGATCTGTACACTAAAAACTATAAGACCTTGATGAAAGAAATTGAAGAGGACACAAATAAATGGAGATATATCACATACTTACATGTTGAAAACATTAATAGTGTTAAAATGTCCAAACTACCAATGCCATCTATAGATTCAATTCAATTCCTATCAAAATTTCAATGTCGTTTTTCATAGAAATAGAAAGACCATTTCTAAAATGTGTATGAAACCACAAAAGACTGAAGAAATCCAAAAATAATCCTAAGAAAAAAGAACAAAGCCAGAGGCATTCCTGATATCAAACTATTGATATACTACAAAACAATAGTAATTAAAACAGTATAATGTTGAATAAAAATGGGCACATAGACCAATGGAGCAGAATAGAGAGCCCAGAAATAAACCCCCACACTTATGGTCAACTATATTTGACAAGGGAGCCAAGAGCACTCAATGGGGACAGAATAGTGTCTTCAACAAATGATACTTGGATAACTAGAGAGCAACATGCAGAAAAGATATTGGATCTTTATTTTACAACATTCACAAAAATTAACTCAAAATGGTTTAAAGTCTTAAACATAGGACCTCACACTATAGAAGAAAACATAGAAAACATTGGTCTTGGCAATTATTTTTTTATATATGCCCAAAGCAAAAGGGACAAAAGCAAAAATCAATAAGTGTATCTACATCTAAGTAAAAACAAAAGAAGGAGAGAGAGAGAGAGAGAGAGAGAGAGAGAGAGAGAGAGAGAGAGAGAGAGAGAAGAAGAAGAAGAAGAAGAAGAAGAAGAAGAAGAAGAAGAAGAAGAGGAGGAGGAGGAGGAGGAGGAGGAGGAGGAGGAGGAGGAGGAGGAGGAGGAGAAGAAAAAGAAAGAAAGAGATAGAGAGAGAGAGAGAGAGAGAGAGAGAGAGAGAGAGAGAGAGAGAGAGAGAGAAAGAAAGAAAGAAAGAAAGAAAGAAAAGAAGAGAAAGAAAGAAAAGAAAGAAAGAAAGAGAAGAGAAGAAAGAGGAGGGAAAAGGAAAGGAAAGGAAAGGGGAAGGAGAAAGAAAGGGAAACCAAGCAAAGAAAAGCAAAAGAAAAAGTAAAGGAAAGAGAATAGAAATGCAAAGCAAAGGAAAGCAAAAGGAAAGGGAAAGGAAAGAAAAGGAAAGGAAAGGAAAGGAAAAGGAAAAAAGGACAGGAAAGGAAAAAGGAAAGAAAAGTAAAAAGAAAAAGGAAAAGGAAAAGAAAAAGGAAAGGAAAGGAAAAGGAAAGGGAAAGCAACGGGAAAGGAAAGGAAAGGAAAGGGGACAGGAAAGGAAAGGGAAAGGAAAGGAAAGGAAGGGAAGGGAAGGAAGGGAAGGAAGGAAGGAAGGAAGGGAAGGAAGGAAGAAGGAAAGGAAAGGAAAGGAAAGGAAAGGAAAGGAAAGGAAAGGAAAGGAAAGGAAAGGAAAGGAAAGGAAAGGAAAGGAAAGGAAAGGAAAGGAAAGGAAAAGTATGAAATAGGAGAAAATATTTGCAAAGCACTCATTAGATAAAGGGTTAATATCTATCATATACAAAGAATCTATACAATTCTATAACAAGAAAGAAAATAAACAATATAATTTTTTAAATGGACAGAGGAACTGAATATATTTTTTCAAAGAAGACATCCAAATGGCACTGTTAGGTGCCACCAGGCTAAGCACAGCCAACCTCTGTGTGTGTGGCTGTGCAGCCTGTGTCTGTCCTTGACATCTGTTTATGCACATGATCTGTCTCACTGTTACCTAGAGATCATTGGTACTTTTTGCAAAGCTTTGTTCATCCCTTTCCCCTCTGGAGACTGAAGCAATTGAGAAAATAGTAGAGTCAGAGGTAAATTGAAGATGCAGTATCAGCTGGATTGCAGGCCAAAGCTTGTACCCAAGATTAGAATGGTCTTTGAACTCCTCTAGAATGAACTGGATTAACCCACCCCTTCTCAGGCAGAGCCAGTGGCTAAACTCAACCTCTCCATTCAACACTTACCCCAGAGGGCTTTCCATGTGGGGGAAAGGGGACTACATGCTGCCTGTTGGCCACTGCAGATTTAAAGAGGGAGGCAGAAAGACCCAGCCATGCCTAAGAAATGAACTTTAGAAAGAGGCAAGGTGAGAGTGTGGTGGAGAACAACACAAAGCATCCCTCCCTCTCGAGTCCCATGAGTGCAGCAATACTTATTTGAATTCCTGTTACAAACTCTATGTTTCTCTTGGTCTTCCTATAATTTTTGTTCAATAAACTAATATGTTTAAGCACTAAAGCCCACTCTTTATGGCTGGACCCCTAAACCAAAGGTCCCACAGTTGATCACGCAGTATCACATCCCTTCTTCCAATGTGGCCCTTCTTTCACTTCCCATGGCTGCTCTTCTACTGACCATCCTGAGACCTGAGCTATCCAGTGTTGATTTCACTCTGAAATGAATTACACCAGGCCATACACTACTGTTCTAGGAGGCCAGAAATCCTTGATCTCTCTCCAATTTCAAATGATAACCAACTACTTTCTCCATTACAGCTCAGGAGAAGTTATGTGATGAGCCCAAGTAACTACAGGAATAACTCCTAATAGCATAGTGCCAGCAATATTAATGAGCATTCTTCTGGTAATAAATTCCTCAAAAGAAATAAGAGCCCAAAATTAAATATCTTTCCTTCTCTTATATGTAAAGCAAAAAGACATTTAAAGAATGACAGCATTCTTTCCTCATTTTTCCATTTTTTATTCTGCTCAGTCTCAGCCAGAGTGATTTCATTTTAAATATCTCTGTAGCCTTGGGCTTCTTTACATAGCTACTATAGCCTACAGTATTTTATCAAAACAGGTAATTTGTTCAGCATCTCTAACATTGAATTAATCAAGTCTCCAGCTCTTTTTTAAAAGTCTGAGTAAATCAGATATATAAAATTATCAAAGCATCAGCCCTATACCAAAAAATATAAAAAATATAAATAAATGCTTATTATAGTAGAATAACATTTTCCTATACCACACAAAGCATAACCTTTGACCACATGAGGGATGTCTGTCAAACACTGTAGCATTTACTTGATGGACTCGAGGATGCTGGTCTGATCAAGCAGTCTCAACTCATCAGTCTACAAGAGTGAAATGGATTAGCAAATTTTCAATAATTACTGCCTCTTTGCTTTGCCAAGATCTTACCCTAATGTTTAATGAGGCTGCTTAAACTTTTCAATTTTTTTAGGTTTCATATCAGTCCAATCCAAAAAAAAAAAAAATTACTCTCAAGCTTTGCTGAAGTCTATTTGTAATCCAATGGCCTTCCTAAAAATTCTTGTAATTAATATATTGGTCTTATTTTTGTTCAAATCTCCTCCTATCTTTATTCCCTTCTTTCTCCTTCCTATATAGAGCATAGAACTTTGTTGTTGAAGTATCACTTTCTCATCCTCTTTGCTTTTCCTCTGCCTCTTCTCTTACTTTGGTGAGGCTTGTACTATATAGCAGTGGCCAGTATTTTATATACCTGTCTATTGCATAAGTTTGCTGTCCTCTGTCCTTTTTAAATTAATTATTTTTATGTTTCATATTATGTTATTTGTACATGTGTGTATTCTCTGTCTCTCTCAATGAATGGAAAGCAGCACCTTGATCAGTTTGATTTACTCTTCTGTCCCTTTGCCAGTAACAATCTTGACAAATAGTGGTTACTCAGTAAATATATTCTGTTGAGTGAATGAATGCCTACTCATCTAGTCCAATCTGTGGATTCTATATGTATAAATGGCTAAGCCCTCAAAGGTTTCTTGTCATGAGGAATTGATCCTCTTTAAAAATGCAGTTAGAGGTTCTGTCTGGTCACCAGATGAAGACATCAAGCCTATATTTCCCTGTTTCATGCTCTGGCAATATATGGCAAAATTGCAGAGTGGTAATCTCACCTATCCTCTGTATCCCCAAATTGGGATGTGTGGACACAGGGTAGAGCCATCATCCTGTGGAGAATTGGCCAGGTGCTCCATCCTCCCTCCTAAGAGCTTCCCCTTTGCCATCGCCCTTGCACAGTTCTTTGTGAATTATTGCTCAGAAGTCATCCTTCAAAGAAACATATGCCAGCCTTTGTTTTCTACAGACACCTGAAAACTTCATAAGCAAGGTGGCATTCCACCCCACAGAACACTTACTACTTCCTCAACTCTGCATGAGCGCATGGGGGCACAGGTGCACAAATTAGAGGGAATAGGGCTTCCTATGCTGATTTTTCTAGAATTTATCTTTGGACCATTTTCACTGTGATATACACCCTCAGAATAGAATTATAGTAAATAATTCATAACTATATAAACCATTGGAGAAGTAAGATTGACAAACAATATGATAATAAAGATGCATCATGTTGTTTTCAGCCTTGCCAGCCAGTCTGTACCAGTTCTATAGAGCTCATGTGCACTCCCTCATTGCTGCTTCTGGAGTTTCCCTAAGAATGCCAATGAGAAGCAGCAACCCAAGCCATATTCTTTTCCCCAAACCCTGCTTTTTCAGCTTTTAATCCTCAAACACTGTAGAAACATTACCTCCCTGTGGCAGTCTGAAACTCTATTTTCACCACCTATTACTGCAACCAAAACACAGATCCAGCTGCTTTCCCCTATGAAAGTCAAACTCCTGAGGCAGCTCCTAGTGCAAAAGGAAAGAGGTTTATTCAGGTGCCACAACCTGGGAGAATGGTGGATTCCCATCTCAAAGACCATACTCTCTTTCTGGTCAAGCCCCTGGTTCCTATAAGGATAGGGATGGAATACTTTTTTTCTATTCAATTGTCTTGTAAGCTTTTGGCATGCTAGGATCCTGTCCATTCATCTTTCTAGCTTTTGGCTGCTTATCCATTCATTTTTTGGCACAAGAACCACTACCATCCTGCACCCCGCACCATATTGGCTAATGGGGGAGACTCCCATGAGCTCCCTAACTGTCTGTCAGGGTCAGTGGGGAAGAGGAGCTATAAGACCCAGTGTCAGGAAGCCTAGAGATATCCTAGCCCTTAGCCAACCTTCCTATACTGGACAGGACATCTGCATGCAGGGGAGCCAATTGGAGTCCACAGGGCATGCCTGGATCCCAGTGCAGCCACCTCCACTTTGCAGACCCCCACTAGCTGCTCACCCCCCCTGAAGTGGCCAGCAGTTGCACTCACCCTGCTTCCAGCTGCCCAGGCTCTGACTATCTACAATACCGTACCTTTTGCAGCAGAACCAGAACTTCTATAAAAGTCTGTCTCTTACCAAAAGTTGAGAAACATGGTAAATAGGGTGGGGGAGATTAGAAGAAAGAATCAATTATATTCTTACGTCTTTGTACTTAGCACTCCAAAACTAAGGCACAGCAGAGATCAGTGTATGCCTGCTATATAGTTCTGTATGCTCAGTCCTGGCAGAGATGCTAGAAAAGAAGCAATTCCTCTTAGAGGTGAACAGGTTCTAGCTTAACAAGAGTGTTTTTCTCCTACCCCACAACTCCTGCCCTCAAAGGATTTTGAAATCTTCACAAGATAAATGTGTTCTCCAGAGTCAAGAGTATTTTCTGACTACTAGGGGAAAATATCACAATTTATTTCTGAGTCCAGGATCTACTCATTCAATTGCATGCCCCAATTACTTTAATCCCTAAACTGAATCCCTTTATTCACTAAACCCAGATAGGGTTCCATACTTAAAGACAGCAGACAAAAAATTGGGTGAATCCTCCAAATCTGGCAGTGCTTTTTATAACCAATCACATGCCTACAAACACCAGCCACAGTATAAACTTCAACAGCCCACAAATTCAAAGATTGGCAAGACCTATGTTTAAAGCCATCTACCCAAGCCACTCCAAGACACGCTTTCTTGCTATTCTAACTTTTATGTTGATTTCTTGAGGTTTCCAAGCTAATGTACCATGCATCAGATTCCTTGTCCTTCCAGATTTTGATCCAGTTAATATAAAAAGACAAAACATTTGGCTACCAACACAGCAATAATTTGTTAAGCCAAAAATCATGAGTAGAAACTGTAACCATTGCAACAATATTGTTAAACAGGATCAAACTATTTACATATAGGAAAAATTGTCCCTTTATTGTGACAAAAATTGCACTAACAAAGTGATCAAAGATAATGTCTTCTTGCTAGGGCAAACTGACTTCATGTGCTTCCTGATGTAACAAACTAAGAACTGATCACCTGTCTGTATTGTATGCCTGACAAAGGTACAGAACCTAAATCTAGTCATGAGAAGACAATCAGGTGATCCATGCTAAGAGGGCATTCATCTTTTACTCCCTGGCTGCTTGAAGATCAATGTCCATCATGAACAACACAGTAACTATTCAGATGAGGAAGTTCATGACCAACAGACTACTTTAGAGGAAACAAATGGTTATTGACATCCTTCACCCTGGGAAGGCAACAGTAGCCAAGACAGAAATTTAGGAAAAAGCTAGCCAAAATTTATAAAACCACACCAGATGTCATCTTTGTGTTCAGAATCTATTTTGATAGTGGTAAGACAAGTGGCTTTGACATGATTGATTGATTGATTGATTTTACAATCTTTATTGTTAAAGTATTACATATGTCCCATTTTTCCCCATTGATCCCTTATAGCCTGTCTCAAGCCTCCATCACCCTATTGTCTGTGTCCATGGGTTATGTATATATGCATACAAATTCTTTGGTTGATCTCTTTCCACCCACCCCCGCCTTCTCTCTGAGTTGCGACACTGTTCCACTTCAGCATGATTTACGATTCCTTGGATTATGTAAAGAAAAATGAACCCAAACATAGATTTACAAGACATGGCCTATATGAGAAGAAGACCCCAAGGAAAAAGAGAAAGGAATGCAAGAACAGGATGAAGAAAGTCAGGGGGACTGCAAAGGCCAATGTTGGTGCTGGCAAGAGTGAGCTGGGGATTGGACAACAGAAGCAGTAAAGATTCAGTGATTTTATCTGTGGTGACTGTGCAGATTTTTCATGAAAAGATTAATAAACTTAAAAAATAAATTTAAAAAGAAGGCATTCATTAAAGAACTAAATTGTATTCTTCAGTAATGTTAGTGTCATGAAGCCAGAAAGAATAAGGAACTCTTCCAGATTCAAGGACACTAAAAACACAAATGCAATGTAGAGTCTTTGATTGAAACATGCATTAGGAAAAACAATTTTCATAAAGAACATTTGTGAAGCAATTGGAAACATTTGAGTATAAACTGTATATTGAGTACAATATGCAGTTCAATTAGGTACAATATTGTGTTACTGCTAAATTTCTTGAATTGGATATGCCTTTCTTCTTAGTATACTAATACATATGCATAAGAGAATGGCTTTGTTCCTAGTATACATATACTGAAATATTTAGAAGTGATGGTTTATAAAATCACCAATTTACTATCAAATGGTTCTAAGCAGTAATAATTGTATTAATATGCACATATTTGTGGAGAGAGATAAAGTATGTGGGAAAAACTTTTTAACAATTGGATCTAGATAAATCATATATGTGTATTCATTGGCTTACTCTTGCAGGTTTTGTTGTAGGTTATAATTTTTAAATAAAACATTAGAAAATAAATTCAGAGTATATAAAAATAAGAATAAATCTAAAAATAGATACAAGAATCAGATTTAGGATCCCAATATTGGCTTTATTACTGGTAAAGTTAGATTGGAAAACAGCAAAAATAACAACAAAAAGTGTGTTTCTGGAGACAGAAACCTGAAAAGCTCCATGCATTTCCCAAGCTACCTCACTGCCTTCTCCTCTCCTGAGAAAAGTATGCCTCTCTAATGGGTTTAACCACATAGAGTGCCTTCTGTCATATTTTTTCTATTTTTAATATTGTTACATAAAATATACAAGATAGTTTTTATTTCAAGAGTTCCTGTTTGTTTCAGAAAAGCTTCTCTGTCTATTCTTGATATTATACTCATCATTATAATTGCATGCTTCCTTGTAATATGTAAAATAATCATACTTAGTTTATCTGCATCCTGTATCTGCCAATTCTAATATTGTCAGTCTCTTAGTATTTCTGTGTTTTGCATACTGCTTCTGTTGACAAGCACTCACTATGATTGCTTGAGTTCTCATTTTTCAGCAATCTTGTTTCTGAAATTATGCTTGCTTTTATGTTAGAGAGTGTTATGCTGAGACAATTCTGAGCAGCACTCCAAATTGTGATCAGCCATATGATTGATCCCCTATGCTGGGACAAACTCAGACTCCTCCTTTATCTTGGCTCTCAGACTTAGCTTCCCTCACCCCACCTCCCCACCCCCTTTTTTTTTAATTCTGTGCCCCTCCACTCCAACGCTATAGGAATCTGGATGCCTTTAGGGAAATTCTCACTGCCTGTTGGCCCAGACAGAGTCTCTGCCACTCTGGTTTAGTAGCTCTCACTCATTCCACACTGGTTTGGCTTCTAAGTATTCCCGCTTCAGCGCTGGCCATAAATATCCAGGCTTGTACCCTAGAAAATCCAGGCTTGTTTTTACTACTGTCATTTTAAGTGATTGCTGACTTTGCTTATATTCCCCCAAACTGGTAGATTTCCTTGTGTGTTATTTAAACTTAGACTGTGAACTCATCTTCAGTTTTTTCTCCTCCTGTGAAAGTCCTGTGTACCCTAGGTTGTGAAAGTGTTCCTTTCAAAATGGTTTTGGATGTTTTTCTTCCAAAGACTCCCCAAGCTTTTAACTTCTGACTAATTTTCTAACTAGAGGTGACTTTTTTCCATACACATTACCAGGTGGGTGACAAGCATTCTGTTGTTGTTTCCTGTTTCTAGATCTGTAGGTGGAGTTGTTCCGGTGCTTTTCCCCAAGTGGGACTTGAAGACTTCCAGCTTTTTGCAGAGCTTGGTTTCCGTTCTCCTCCTTGCATGGACTGAAGATTATGTCTTCTGTGGCTTATGTCAGGGCTTGTGCTCTTCTATTCTGCTCTGTTATCAGCTCCTGATTGTGCCTTTGCCTGGAGTTTCCTCTGAGTTCTGACACCTGAGGATATCTCACTTTTTCTTAGTTATGCTTCTCCATAAGTTCAGTGTGTTCATAACAGGATTGGAAGAGGTTGTGGGTTCCATGATCTACTTCATTTCAATAACCCATTTTTCTAGCTATTCTCATAATTCCGCTATAGCACCATTTAACAACTTCCCTAGCTGTGATTTGGAGGACAGTTTGATAAGATTGAGCTACCCTCAAATCCATGGATGGGTTTAAGCTAATTAGTGACCTGCATAACCCTAAACAAGATGATTGGCTTAGAAATGGTCACATCCACTCAGTATAAGTCAATGAAATGAGAGAAGCCATGTTTTGATACACTTGATAAAAGTTATCAACTTTTAAAAGATACAGGATGATAGTATGGACATGTTATTGACAACAATACATATTATGTTTATTTTACAATTTCACTTTAAATTTTGCTTGACTAGGTCCATGAATCACTCAAAATAATGCAATTAAATTATTATTAAAATGTAATGTTTATTTATTCTGCTAGAAACCCTTTCCAGAGAAGATTCTTATCTTGATCTCCATTATACAATACAGTTTAAGTTTCTTCATACTGTATCACTAGCTGAAGTTATCAGTTTATTTCATTAATTACTTTGTCTCATCCACAAAATTTTAATCTCTATGATACAAAGACCCCCTCTCTCTTATTAACTATTATATTCTCAGTGCCTAAAACAGAGTTCCATGTATTAGAGACAGTATTAGGTGAATAAACCCTAACCACAACTCAGGCTTTTTTCTGCTGAATCTCTTCCCAATAATCTGCTCATGCCCCTAAAGAAAATATTATCTCTCTTAATAACACTTTAGAAATATAAGATTGCTGTGTTTGTTTGTTTGTTTTCCCAAGTAGTCACACACACAAAAAGTCTCCTGATTTCATTGGCCTGCATGTGAACACCTCTGAGGCAATTACATTGGCCAGAATCATGGTCTTTACTAATTGACGTAAGCCATGCAAGACCCATCTTATTACTGAAGGTAGGAAGAATCCACTCAAACTAGCTTGGTAAATATGTGAAAGAGGCAGTTTCCCCAAAGAATATTCTGGTGCAATTACCATGAAAAAAAAAAGAGATATACTCACTAGTATTGCCAAAAACTGACCACTATACCACCCCACCTATACAACAGGATCTTACAAAAAATGTTAATTTTAGTCCAAGCCTTAAGGTCAAGTGACTCATGTATGGCATTAACAAATAATTAACACAGGAAATGGCTAAATGAGAACAAAATCTCCAAATTTTCTGTCAATCATTTAATTATTATTTAAATTAATTACTATTTAATTTCTTGGTATACATTCATTAATTTATTCATCCATCAGCAAATATTTATTGATCATCTACTATGTGCCAGACACATGCTGTGCCAGATACTGAGGCTAGAGCAATAAACTATATAAGCAAGGTCCCTGTCTTCATGGAGTTCATATGCTAATGTGAAAGACAAATGATAAATCAATGAGTAAGTGCTTATATAATATAATGTCAAGTGGCAATAAATGCCATGGGGGGGGGAAGCAGGGTGAGTAGCTAATGACAAGGAGAGACATCTTATGAATGGTGGTCAGAGAAGGCCCCGCTAAGAAGGTACAGCTGAGCAGAGATCTGTTTCACACAAGACAGTGAGATATGAGGATATCCGTTAAGAAAGAACAGCAAATAGCAAAGGCCTTGAAGTAGAAACATGCCTGGCTAGTTTGTGGAAGAGCAAGGAAATGATGTTTCTTTAATCATAAAGAAACACAGGTGGTATAATCTTGGACAAAGTAACTAACCTTTCCTAACTGTAGCGTCCCTTTCGTAAACAGGAGATAACCTACGTTTTACTATGGATAGCAGGGGACTTTACATAGAAAGCCTCTGACACATAGTAGGTGTTCAGCCAAAGATATCTTTCTTTTACGCCTTTTACCTTTCCTGTGGGTCCAACCTTCCCTCGAGTCATCTTAGGACACTAACTAACCATATGCTCAATTTGCCGTTATAAACCGTTTGGGGTTGAAGGCAGCTGCTGCTTTGAAGTGTTCCCTGTCCAAACCATGTGGTTTCGTGACCCTTTTGTTCATGATCCTGTTACACTAACCACAATCCACAAAGAAGACTGCAACATGCTACCTTCTTCATTCTGGTGTGTGTGTGTGTGTGTGTGTGTGTGTGTGTGTGTGTGTGTGTGTTACAACTCAAGCATTTTAAACTAAGCGGGTTGTGTGGGTGTCTAGTCCTATGAGTCAAAGGTTCCAACCAGAATATAAATAAAATCCAGCGCTTCATCAAAAGAAGCCAGTGTCAACTGGTATGAACCAGACCGTGCATTGTACCATAAACCCTTGTAAACTATTGAAACCCACTCTTCCCTAACGTTTCCAAATGTATTGGAATAACCTTTTCTATTTGGCTTCTATGGTGC